AAAGAAAGAAAGAAAGAAAGAAAGAAAGAAAGAAAGAAAGAAAGAAAGAAAGAAAGAAAGAAAGAAAGAAAGAAAGAAAGAAAGAAAGAAAGAAAAGAAAGAAAGAAAGAAGGAAAGAAAGAAAGAAACTTACTGGGTAAATTGCTGGTATAATGAGGTAATGTCCTCCTGAAACTAAAGTGCACAAATTATGGGACCTCTTTAAGTTCAGAAAACTATGAGCAGTAGCTTCTGAGAGACACATTTGATGCATCATTCCTCACCATATTAATATTTCAGGGAGTGGTCCAGCTGTGTCTGAACTTACAGTTAATTTTATTAACTAATTCTTTTAGTTAGATGTCCTCTCCTTATCTCACCTCTCTCTCCAACTTCTTTTCTAGTTGGTTACTTTAATATTTCTGAATTCAGCTGTGTGTTTGGTAGGTTTGACTTCATTATATTCATGTATATACATGTATAAAACCCCATTCAGCTCTTTTGTCTGCAAGCAGCTCCATTGCTTCATGCAATGCAATTCACCAACTCACTTCTAATACTCCTGATTGCAATGCTCATCTAAACTAGTGGCACTGGCATCAAACAGTGGTCTCCAGTGTGTAGCACTGACACAATAGCTTCCCAGGGTTTTGAGAAAGCTGCTAATTTCACCTTTCAGCTGAGATAAAGCACTTGCAAAACTGTAGCAGTCCAACAGTGTTCCACAACATTAACGTTCCTAGGATTCCAGTTGAATAGACTTTCTCCGATTTATTTCTTTCTACAGCTCATTCCCATTTTATGCATATGATTGCTATTTACAAAGAAACAAACATTATTTATGCCTTACATTTTAAAAATCTTGAAACGTTATGAATTCCCTGATTTCTTTCTAACTCTGACTTCTAATGCATTTTTTGGCTTTTCTTTCTTTCAAGTCTCAGAGAAATAATTTCAAACAAGCCCAATTATGCTTTCTTTTAACGTCTTTATGTTTCACTTCAATTGAAAAAATGTAATAGCATGATGAAAATTAAAAATGTTTGAAGGAATAAAAATAGTGTTTTGCTATTGTTTTCATAGACTTATCATGCATAAACCTATAAATATGTCTAAATAATATTTATAGTATAATGTTAAGCAGTTTGCAAAGCTTATTGAATTTTACCCTGCATTAGCAGTTTGAATTTCTTGGGATTTGAATTCAAACAAGGAGGAGTTACAATCCTTTTAGAAATGTTTGGCTGAATACATAAAGTGTAGTGCAATGACAGAATGAAAATGCCTGTGGTTAATCTGTATACTGATATCCAAGCTAAGGTTTTGTTTATACGCTTCTTTCAGACTGCTGAAAGGTATGTTGAGTTAAGGGATGATGATTATTCCTTCCAAAGCCAATTTTTCTGATCTGCTGTCTGGCGTGGGTATCACAGCTATTCTTTACAACTATTATTATCATAGGATACAAATACTTTTTGCATAAACTGCATCATAAAATGAGTGACGCTGAGGCACTTCATCGAGTCCCTATGAGTCCTTCACAAAGGTCATTATCACAGAGTTCTGCTAATAGGAAAACCTGAAGAAAACATTTATTTTTCATTTTGTTTTTCGCTATCACTCCCCATTTCAGCTGTGGTAGAAACTCTCCACTATTTCATTTTCACCAAAAGCCACACTGTAACTTGCAACAGGTTGTCCTGTAGTGTTGCAAAAGGGCTCCATCTCTGCGTTCTGAGCTACATTGTCCTGGATAAACACAACTGGGTACTGGCTCCTTAAAGACTTAAAACCATAGGATGAAGGACCTGACATTCTATGCAGAGAAGAAACTACTTGCCATACTCTCTGTTTTCCCCAGGATCAGCCAGATCTTGCCGATTTGTCGCCTTTCCTATTTGTTCACAAGCGTGCTGACTCCTCACACACGGTGTGTCTCATTATGAGACTCCTGTCACACCTAAGTGGCAGATTGCTGTCAGTGAGATCTGTCACCTCTCTGTACAATGGTGTGTGGTCTCCCACGTTCACTGGAGCAGGGCAGGGACAAGATTCACACCTATAGAAAAGGTTCCCATGGGATTTTCAGGGTTTTTTCACATATTGCACTTTTTCTCTCCATTTACATGTGGTGAAACAGAAGTAGTGTGTCAGGTACTCCAATGGCCTTGAAGACAGAAGCCAATAGTGGTTTGCAAGAAAAATCTGAGGGGATGAGGTAGGTCACCACAGAAGGCACCAACATCACTCTGCACCCTTTCCTACAGCTGAGGGGCAGTTTCTGTCTTGTGATGACCGTGTTTTGGTTGAAGCCTGAGAGATGTTTCTCAAAACACAGACAAAAAACTTTCCACAGGAGCTGTCACCTCCTGGGAGGTGAAATAGGCCACGATGGTTAGTCCTTGCTGACTCTGTTTTCTTTGGACTCCATCTCTTGGCAAGTAGCAGGACTAGCTCAGGGGTCACATGAGGTCTTTCCCCAGACTCAGCCCTGCGGCAGGAAGCAGCCGCTGGACCTGATCCATGAGCCTGCTGAGCCAGGGCTCTCTCTGGGCTTCTAGGAGATGCAGACTGTCACTTAATAGCCTGATGTCCCTTCCCAGGGAACAGGGAATGAGAGAGAGGAGGAGCTCAAGAAATGGCTTGTAACCTTCACCTGTAGAAAGGATGAGGACTGCCCTGAGTCCCAAATCTGAATTTAGGGATAACAGCACAATCACTATACCCCCATAAAAACCCCACCAGTCTCTACAGTGGAATGTGATATTTTCATAGCTCCAGAGTTGGGGGGATATACCCACCTAATAAAGCCATTAAAAGAAAGTTCTCAAAGTCAACACAGCAGAATATAGTTTATACATTATCAAGGTCCAAATAATTTGTTTGGTATTATTAGATATAAGCTAATAACAAGATAATAATAAGAAAATTAAGATTCCACCTACCTAGTAGCATTCCAGCAGCAGTAAAGCTCCAGGGAAATAAGTCTCTGTGAAAGATACCATGCAAAATATGTTTATTACAACATTCTTGTATTTATTAAGAACAATACAAAAGCCTCACTTCATATCAGTGATTTGAATCTTTATTTTTCTTTAATAATAATTTCTTTAATAATTTTGTGGTCAAAAATAAATGTATTCTTAGATTATTTATTATTCATTCAATAAATATGTGTATAATAAATTCAAGAAGGTATTTACTAGATGATTAATATTACTATTTATTATTTGCATTGCTTTAGCTTTTACAATGATTATTTGCTGAGCTGGAAATGGCAAATGAGAAAATAATTCTCCTACTAATTTCAACAGTTCCATCAGTCTGGTTAGTACAATTTCTTCTTTCATTATATTGGAAAATAAAGAAAAGCCACATATATATTTATTTCTTTATAGTTATATTTATATTATTTATATTATTTATATTTTTATATATTTTATACATATATTATTTTTGTGAAGTGGTGTCAACAATAAAATATTGTTGTTCATTAAAGAAAGAATATAAAATTAAATTTAAAAAACTCTGAAAACCAGGATAGAGGTATTCAAAGCCAAATTCTATTTGAGACCATTTTTAGTTCAATGTAAGCTTTATTGAAAGTTTTGGGATCATCCTGAGTCCAAAATGCCATACAGAAATAAGTCAAGTGGTAGTTTCAATTACTGAGGTGATTCCTTCAAGAATGCAAATCTTTTGTTTTAATTTGAGGTTTTTCTCTCAAATTATTGAAGTATAAATTTAATCTGTCCCTTTAGACACTAAATAAATTCTTTGATTTGTTAGTATGGAGTCAAATTTCATAATTTCTTTGTGTGCAGAGTGTAACCAGTTAATCAAGAAAAGATAGCATGATGGCAATTTGAAAATTCTACAGTAGTGAATGTTCAAGTGTTAAACAGTGAGGTGCAGACTGAATGTTGGCTTTGATGCCAATAATAATATATAAAGGAAAACAAATATAAAGCTTTAAAACCTTACAGATGTAAAAATATATGTACTTTGCTGTCAAAACCAATTGACAAAGTAAAAAAATAGAAAAGAAAAATCTTCATACACACCCAAATGCATAAGCTTGCAAAGAGAACAAAGACTGCTATAAATATTCCAAGAAGCCAATAAAAAAAACTAGGAGTGGTTAGTTCTCCTGTGTAATGGGCTGCCATAAAAGCTTTTATTGTTAAGGGAGTTACTTTACTAAGAGCTGTATGAAGAAAACTGAATGAATGTGAAAAATTGCATGCAATAACCTGAACTGAAAGATGATTATCAGCCTCTGAGTTCTATGCTTTTGAGTGGGTGCTGCTGTTAGAAGATTGCTGTGGTGGTTAAAGAAAAGCTTGTTTTGTACTACTATCCCTCCTCCAGGTATACAGAGAGTCACTGTGTTCTTCTCCGTTGCCTTTGTCTGTCCATATTAAATGTCATTTTTTAAAATTGAAGGGCCTGATCCTGCAGTTTTGCTTTCAGGAGGCACTTCAGTGCACTGGAACATTTCCATTGGAATAAACTTAGGATTTAAGGGTCTGATGGCCCAGTCCTGGACAGAGAAACATCTATTACTCACTGCCAGCTGTGTTGCACTGAGCTGAAGAGAGTGTTAGCCTGCAGGCCAGAGTTTGTAAGTGAAGCTTGACCTAAACCCACAGAAATTCCCTTGCATGACTCAGATGAGTGCTGAATCCACTACTTCCCAACAATAAAAGCAGGTTTTCCTTCTGTGACTGTTGATCTATTTATTTTTTTTTTCACTTAGTGCGGTATTTACACCACATGCACACATTCGTAAAAAGCAAAACCTTTAAAAGCTGTTTCACTTACAGCTGCAAAGGAAGGAAGTAAAAGCCATAGTTATTTCTATGCTCCACTATATGGGAGATTCTGAGTGCTGTGCTAATTAGGTCCTTATCAGTGGCTAAATGAATAGGCAGGTATCCTGTGCATTCCATGCCACTTCAAAGGATGCTCCAAACGGAACATTTACAACATCAGGCTTTTAGATATTGCCTCTTTACAGAATATCTTTCTGCCTTTGATTTTTCAGCTATTTTTTCCCCCACCACTTATCAAACACAACAAGAGCTGAGGATGGCTGCAAATCAGAAAACCACTAGATACATCTGCTCAGAGTTTCCATGGAAAATGCTGACACCATGCTTGGGGCCTCTCAATGTTTCATGTGTATTCATAATTCCTTATTCTCCTTTCTGACTTTTACAGAGATCAGGTGAAAGAGAAAAACACTAACATCAGTGTTACTACTTCCCTTTCTGTTCTGTTTCCAAGGAATAAAGTAGTCTGAAAGGAAAATAGAAGAGAAGATATTGTTCAATCTTCTGCAAAATCATCACAATGAGAAATTGAAAGCACGGGAGTTGAATGTGTTTCCGTAAATGAGAACCAGATTGTCTTAGATTGGCTCAAATTGCCTTATTTTTCTACAAATCTCTAAGAATTGGTATGCTGTGTTAATACAATTTTAAATAATATTGATATTTATACCCTTAATTTATCCTAATAAAAATACCATTTAAAATCTCTGAAGCACTAACTCATTTTCAGCATTACCAGACCACATAGAAAGTTTGGCTAATTCTCCATAACAGACACTATTCTTTATACAAATAACTTTTTCCCTGGGTTGGCCATTAGGCTAATGGCCTCAGAAGTTAACAAATAAATGCTGCTGCCAGTGTACCTTGAACACAAGAGAGAAAGTGCTTTGTCACAGCAGAAGCCTATTCCAGTGATGTGAGTCTCTTCTGAAGAGTATTTAGCATGAAATCATCTCTCCCAAGGAAACACCTCTTGGACTGCATAAAATGCCCCTTGGGGAGAGAGAAGGTTGGTTTCAGACCACTTGATTCCCTAGATATAATTTCTGCTAAGCAGCCATAAATTGTAGAAACTAGGCTCCCTGAAAGAAAATATTTCTGCCACAATCCATACTTATCTTTACCTCTGTCTGCTTCTGGAGGCACTTCAGTGGCTCCAATCACGTACTCCAGTCTATTTTAACAACTTCCAAAAGAAGCAGCAAGGTTGGCTCTTTATTATCATCAGGTAGTGTGTGCTATTTATACATAGGAGATTAAGGATACTGCATGTCTGATCTGCCTTTTGCCTATACATCTCACTGGCTCTCACCAGAACAAGCTGCACATGTCCTGTTTAAATGGGCCATTTTTGCTACTTAGCATCAGGAATTGTTCTGACCCCACATCTCTTAGAGGGAACAGTGGGTACCTAACAGAGAGCATTTGGCCAGGGGTGTTAGACCCAGACAAATTTGCCACTTTTACCTGGTGTGTCCCTGATAGAGGCCAACTTTGACAGGGAAATCACATTTGCGACCAGCTTGGCCATGGAAACAGTTGCTATAACATTAATCTGGGAACAGAATACTTGAGAGGACAAGTGTTAATAGGATATATGTTCTCAGCAAAACTTGTGACTGGTGGTGATGTGGCTGGAGACTAAAATCTCTCCTGGGCATATGGGATGGAGATCATGGTTTGACATATCTCTACATCTCATGTGACCACTGCAGATCCAACCCAAGCTGCTTTCTAGTGGTTGCACAATACAACTGCTACAAATCCCAGTTAACCTTAGTAAACATATAACTTGTTTGCAGAATTTCCAGGTGATATTTTGTTCTTTCTGTTTCTCTCACTGTCATTTGTCTGGCTGAGATAATAGGTTGCTGCAGACCAGCATCAAAAACCTGGGTGTTTTCCAGCAGGAGGAAGTCTTCTGAACATCACACTGAGCTGGATAAAATGGAAGGCTATTCCAAGCTTGCAGGCAGAGGAGCAGCTGTGTGGCAATGATTTCTCAGCTTTCTCAGGATAAAATCTCAGCCTTTGAAACTCCCTGCAGTGTACTCAGAAAGTTGTGAGGAATGTTAAACCACAATTTTGCTTGAAGTATCTGTGCAAATGGATCCACTCATAATACTAGCAATACTACGGATGTGCTTTAGAAGGATCAGCATCTCAAGCATTGCAGAACTACGTAATTTTGCTTCCCAAAATTGTAAGGTATCTTGTTATTCTTATCGTCCCACTCCTGAGCATTGCCTTACTACTTTGCAGTGAGTTCCTTAAGCTGCTTGTACGGCAACAATGTTAACTAAAGGTGTGTACCCTTGTCATTTCTCAAAAAATCAAGTGTATTATCAAAAGTTCTCATAATAAAAAAATACTTGCTTATTTAGAGAATTGTTATGGTTAAACAAAAGGAAATACCTAAAAGGCCAATGCTGTAACATCATTCCAGGAAACTTCCATTGCAATTAATGGAAGTTTTGGTTGAGAAATGACTTAATGTTGGATCTCCAAAGACATAATTAAGGAACAAGTCATTATCATGTTGGGGGACATGGTCACTTGTTTAACAACAATACAATATTTTGTTTATAATGACAGCTTATTGAGTTGGGTTGCTTTAAGTTTTCAGCTTCTATTTTTGTTCTTTAGAAGACAATGGGAATGACTTAAAATAATAAGAAAGCTGCTAAAATTGCTATGGCTGCTGTGGTATTACAAAGACACACGTTGGCTCCCTGTGTATATTGTATAATAGACATTTAACCTGTCACCAAACACAGAGAATTTTACAGGCAAAATGCAAAGGGATGCATTTAGTAGCTATCAAATGAACATTTTTTTTTGTTGTACTTGAAAGTAGCTACTTAACTTAAAATACTAATTTATTAAATTATAAATTAATGTATGCTGCATCAAAAATGCTCGCAATTCCCTTCTGTTATTGCATGAATCATTCTAATGCAAAGTTACAGGTTTCTGGAACATAATGAAATTCAAACTTGCATTCTTAGTGCAGTTGCCATGGCCAATTCAGCTGAAAATGAGAATTATAGTGAGAGCATTTCCTGGTCTTTGACCTGTCTTATAGGGTTTTAAAAAGCAGGTTTTGTAGAGCATTAACCTCATTCCCAAGCAATTTCTCTGAGTAATATGAGAGGTGTTAAAACACTTCAATAAAAGGCAAAGTATTTAAACATCTTTTATTCTGTGTTTCAAAAGACCGGACATTTAACTTCAAGGATTTCTGGCTGTGTAATGTGAAAGACTGACAATAGAACTAACAAAAATGAAGTACAGTCTCTAGTATATATACATAATGCCTTGTGACAGCTAGGCAGTAAGATACAGCCATATTTGACAAGTTATAGTTACATATATATTAAGTATTTGTTTTTGTTTTACTGTTAACTGCACAACAGTAAGAAAAAGGTGAGAGGGAGAAAATAAAAAAACTCTGACCCTGGACAATGAAAAGGAATTTCATGGGTCTTGATAATATTCCATGAACCTAAGAAGTCATCATATGTATTCTATAACCCTACAACACAGCTGAATGGTCCTGAGATAAACTGAAATGCATGTGTAAAAAGTGTGTAATGTGATTTATTTTTCTTTTGGATTCTTTGTAACTTTCACTAGATTATGCCCAAGGATACTTGTAAAAGCAAACTCTGCTGAAGTAAATGAGAATTGTTTTATATATATATATATATCAGAAATCAGTTTTATCATCTCCAGCACAAAGAACAAATGTGCCTGAATAACAAACCCAAAATTAAATATTAAAGATTGGATTCTAAGTATGAAATATTAGATACTGCATAATGAGACTGGCGAGTTCCAACATTTTAGCTGCTTTATGACAAAGGTAAGAATGAGTCATTGCAAATACCATGTTATTAATGAAATGTACTAAATTGCTTATTACAAAGTTAGATCATATCCAGTTTTTGTCCCTATAAAATATATTGGAATTTTTCACCTTTGTTTTATTATTTTTCAGCTTGGACAAACAAGCACCAACTTATCACTCAGGTGGCCTGTCATAGCCTGTACTTTTCAGACAGTATTAGAAAACACGATGAACTTTCTCCAAAAAGTGCTAAAGTAATTTGAAGAAATGAACATGTAGAACAAGCATTAATTCATTATTGTGGAAAAGAGCCATAAAATTGTCATGTAAAAATGTTATGCTGATGGAGGGGAAACTTAACAAAGCAAATACTTATTTTCAAGTCAAACTGCAAAAATGTGAGAAATCACCTAATGTGTGAGCACCTTAATCTGTGGGTTTGCAGGCTTTTGAGGCAAAACAGTGGCAGAATGTTGTTATATTATAGGGCTTGTCTTGTCAGGTACTGTTATGCATGCATAAAATTATGTATGTGATGGGAATTAATGGAATTTCTCAAAAGGAAACCAATTGCGTCTCATTGCATGCTTGAGATTGGCCCAGTATTTGGGAAGTATATCTCAGCATGTCTGTTCTCCCTTTTGGCTTTTTGGTAAATATCCACAAACCCATGAGTTTGAATATAACAATGGATTAATTGCAATGCAAAACAAAAACATGCAGCTCTCAACACTATGTCTGGGGGCAGAGAAGGTGTTATGGAAGCATGCACCTCATGGGAATGGTGAAGTTGCAGCTACAGACACAGCTGGAGGTGTTTTCTCTGGGGAAAGCCAGACAAATTCATGGAAGCAGCTCCTCCAAAGGCTTGTAACAGTGCAAAGTGGGGCTGTGTGCATCTCAGAAGAAGATATCTCCTGCTAAAGAGCAGGGCATTTCACTTAGTGAAATGACTGTAGGATGTATCTTTGCAATAAAACACTTCATACAGAGGAGCCAATCCCAAAAGAAGGTACCCAAATGTTGCTGTAATTGAAGATCCAAAGTGTTAACTCCTGTAGGCTGAAGAACCAAAACTGATAATCTCCACAGCTGAATCCAACCCTAACATGAATATCTGTGATTTGCACAAGATGGATCTGAACTCCTCCACTCCCTATGTTGTGCAGTGCACCAGGTCCACTCAGGTGTATAAATGTTGCTTCTACTTACTGCAGGTGGAAGAAGAATCTGACCATTGAAAAAACATACTGGAAATGTTAAGAATGGAATTGCTATGTAGATACATTATTGCTTTCCTTGTGCTACTGGAGAATAAAAGCTCATCAGTTGGAGAACTGGTTTACAACAGAATGACAGCTACTCAATAATGAGTATTTTTTGAGACACAAATCTCTTTTGGAAACGAGGAGAATGTAACTTAATTTACACTTTTGCAAGCAATGGTGTCTTCCTTTTCAAGTGTTCACCTTGCTGAGGAAAAAATTGAAATGCAGCCCAAGATGTAAAATATTGATGTTGCATTATTCAAATGAGAAAGCTTTGGTATGCATCTCTTTTATTTAATCATGCTAAAAGCAGAAGTGCACAGGGCATAAATGACAGAACAATAGG